ATAACTTTATATGATACAAATCTGTAATACAATGTTATTTTATTACTTTAACATTTAATGCATTTTATTTTTTAATGTTTATTTATTTTTGAGAGACAGGGAAAGAGAGAGAGAGAGACAGACAGGCAGAGAGAGAGAGAGACAGACAGAGACAGAGACAGAGACAGAGACAGAGCTGGGGAAGGGCAGAGAGGGAGACACAGAATCCAAGCTGGCTCCAGGCTCTGAGCTGTCAGCACTGTGCTCGACATGGGGCTCAAACCCATGAACACGGAGATCATGACCTGAACTGAAGTCAGACACTTAACCAATGGAGCCACTCAGGCGCCCTAATTTAATGCATTTTTAATCAGCTGAAAGAAGAAAGGAGAGCACATATATGTTTAAGGAGAATTACTTTATTAAACTTCTTGTTACCATTTCTGGTTCTTTTCAATTTTTGTGTATTTGAGTTCACATCTGATGTCATTTCCTTACTTCAGCACAAGTTTTCTCCCATTTTCTCTCACTTGCCTTCTGTATTGTTGTTATTGTAAACTATATTGCATTTCTGTGTGTTACAGGCTCAACACAATTTATATACTTGTTTGTTTCCCCAGGAAACTGCTTTTTAAAATAACTATATAGAAGAAAGAAGAAACATTATTTTGCCTTTTATAATTGCTGATAATTGCCTTATCAGTGCTGTTGTTTCTCACGTGGATCAATTGCTGTTGGATATCACTTACCTTCAGGCTGAAAAAGATCCTTCAGTATTTATCAAAAGGTGAGTCTGCTAATAGCAAATTCCCTGAGTTTTGGTTTATCTGGGAATATTTAGTTCACCTTCATTTTGAAATATAGTTTTGCTGATATAGGATTCTTGGTGGAAATGTGTGGGGTTTTTTTCTTTTTCTCTTTCAGCACTTTATGTCACTGCACTGTCTTCTGGCCTTCATGGTTTCTGATCACAAGTCAGTTGTTAATCTTGTGGGGGGTTCTCTTGTACATGATGAATCATTTTTCTCTTGGTGTTTGATTTTCTCTTGTCTTCATTTCAATATTTTGACTATGATGTGTCCAGGTGTGTATCTCTTGGAATTTATTCGACTCAGATATTTTTGAGCTTCTTTGGTGTGTACAGTAATGTTTTTATCAAATTTGTGAAGTATTAGGTCATCATTTTGTTGAATATTCAATCTGCTCCTTTTCCTCTCTTCTTTCTGTCTGGTACCCCCAGTATATGTATATTGGTGTGCATTTAATGGTATCCCATATTTCTTAGACTCTCTGTTCATATCGTGTGTGTGTGTGTGTGTGTGTGTGTGTGTGTGTGCGTGTGCATGTGTGTGCTGCAGACTGCATAATCTCTATCTATCTTCAAATCCTGCCATGATTCTTCTACCAGCTTAAGTATGCTATGGAGTCCCTCTAGTGAATTTTTCATTTCAGTTATTATATTCTTCAACTCTAGAATTTCCATGTAGTTCCTTTTATATCTCTCTTCATGGATATTTTGTATTTGATGAGACTTTGTCATCTTCCTTTAATTTTAAAAATTATTTCCTTTCATTCTTTGAACATATTTATAAAAACCACTTAGAAGTTTTATCTGGTATATTCAACATCGGGGTCACTCAAGGGCAGTTTCTATTCCCTCTTTTAGTTCTCTACATGAGTCACACTTTCCTGTTTCTTTACATGTCTCATGATTTATTGTTGAGAACTGCATCTTTAGGTAATATACTAACTGGATAATGATCTCCACCTCTCTTGTTTGCTTGTTTATTTAATGATCTGGATGGATTAGTTCAGTGAAGTCTAATTCCCTCACCCCCTGCAGCCTCTAATCTCATTCCCCGTAAGGCATAGCCTTGGGTATGTACATAGTCTTCCTGATCAGCAGATAGTGACAACAGTGTTTACCTTTGCAGTTTATTATCTCCTTCCCTGATCTCACCACTAAACTTCAAGCTGTTAGCCTTCACTAATTGTTAATGGGTTGCTATATTGTTCTAGATGATGGTCCAGTTGCAGTTGGACATTACAAGGGCAAGGTTTTGGTAGATTTTGAGACTTTTCTGACCCTGTGGCTCTTCCAAATTGTGTCTTTCCCTGATTTTCTCTGTTAAATTTTAGCTGGTCTACTATTTCACCCTCTTAATTGTGCGTTTTTAGAAAAATGGAATGATTTAAATTTGATTTGATCTTGAATGCCAAACATCTGAACGTGCTCCCACAAAATGAAGTCAAATATTTCTGTGAAAATAAAAGGAAACCTGTTTTTAAATCATGGAGCTGGGGGATCAGAGGGGGAGCTCTCATGTCTTACAACTCATCATCAATTGCAGAGCACAACAGGAAGAGATATATCTTGCAAGTTGATACTACTTTAGCTATTTTGCTACCAGCAGGAGGAAGAAAGATTTCCTCCTCCCCCCCACCCCCCGAACCAGCCTAGTCAGTAAGAGATGTTCAAATCTCAGCCTAAGACTGTCACACCCCAGCCAATGAGAAGTCACTATACTTCCAGCTCCCAGTTTATTCTAATGGACTTTCTGTTTACAGCATCCCCTTCCAATTTCTCCTTCTCCTCTGTAAAAGAGTCTCTTCTCTTTTGTTCTATGGACTTGCCTATGGTTTTTCAATAGATTTGTTTGTCCCAAATTGCAATTCCCTCTGGCTCCCAAGTAAACCTGTGTTTTCTGGTAAAACAGCTGACAGTTTATTTTCAAGGTAAATGTTACTCGGTGTCAGAAGTGGGATCCAGAAAAGACCCTCCCCTCCCCCACTCAACAATTCCTGGGGTGATGAGCAAAAGCCACTGGTATCCACAGAGCTACTTGAGCTCACTGCTTTCTTGGTGAACCTTGGAGTTTGAGGCTAAGTTTTCTTCTGGGTTTTGAGTTCTGCTCTCTCTCTCTGTTTTGATTTCTCCATGCTTTATTAAGGATCTGTGTTAAGGCCTTGCCCTCTGAGAGTACTCATTTGGACTTTGGTCCCACTCTTTTTTAGAACTAGACTTTTCCTGTTGAAATTGTGCCTGTTGGAAGTATGCTGACTTTGGTCCGATACCTTTGAAACCAGGCTGTTTCTACTGGAACTGTGCTGTTTAGGAATTTTCTTTGGTTTTAGGAAAAAGACTCTAATAAAACAGATCACAATCATCAAAATGCTTTGAGGGTTCCCCCTCCATTCTGGGTCCTCTGTCGATTTTATGTTTTAAAATCATGGCCCCCCTCATGTGCATTTCTAACTAAATATACCAACTTAACGGAAAGTAATATAGAACTTCAATGGCCAATATGGAAGAACATTTGATCTTCCCAATTTTTTTCTTATAATTACATTAGAAACCTTTGTCTGCAAACAAAACAAAACAAAACAAAACAAAACAAAAAAGTAAACAAACTGAATGGGATAGCTACTTTAATTGGTGCCTTGAGGGTACCAATTTTCAGGATTCTAAGTTTGCATCTTTGAAAAATACTGTTTCTAAATTAACTGAGGCAAAGGCGGCAGAGGGGGGTATAATTCTAGAATTTGACAGTATTAATCAAATAGCCAATGAGGTGAATTAAATGACCCTTTGAAATCTATTTGCTCCATCTCTTGTGGTTTAGCTGAGTCTGGAGACACTGATCATTTGTTCCTATTGAATCAGCTACCATCGTTCTTATGGACAAAATCTTCATCTGCTACTGGCAGAATCTACAGTGCACCTCCCATCAAGATTCAAAGAGATCCCTCAAAACCTCTCCCCAGAATTAATCAATAGCCTATAAAGAAAGAAGTCCTATAAGACATTATGACCATAATAGAAGATTACAAGGCTCAGAGCCTCATTATATGCTGCACTAGTCCCTGTAACACTCCTAATTTACCTGTGATAAAACCCAATGGCCAGGGATGGAGGTTTGTCCAGGACCTCTGAGCAATAAATAACACTGTAATCCTTCATTACCCTGTTGTTCCTAACCCCCGTGTGTTACCAATATCCATTCCTGATGATAGCAAATTTTTTTCACTGCAATTGATCTATGCAGTGCATTTCTTAGTATTCCAGTTGATTAAGGATAGCTAACATCTATTTGCTTTCACTTAGAAAGAATGGAAATACCTGGACAGTAATGCCCCAGGGCTTCACAGAGTGTCCTTACTTTTCACAAAACTTAAAAGCTGACCTGCATGCTATAGTTTTCTTCAGGCTTTACTTTGCCACAATGTGTAGATGATTTGCTTCTTAAACTTCTTCACAGGAAGACAGTATTCACCTGTTAAACTTTTTGGCCTTAAAGAGATATAAAGTCTCCAAAAATTTTTTCAGTTTTCTCAAATTCAGGTTTGATACTTTTGGCATCTGATCTGGGAATAAGGACTACATGTTTTCACAGTGTGTTCCCAGGAGTGAAAGACCTTAAGCATCACATCGTGCAACCTGGAAATTTTGTCTTTTGGAAACGACACTTCCAGAAAGGCTCTTTAATCTCATGGAAAAGGCCCTTATCAGGAACTGCAAATCATTGCTTGTGCCGCCAAACTCCAGGGAACAGACTCTTTGATTCACATGACTCATCTGAAGACAGCACCAAACCCCGACTGCACCTACACACCCCCTAGTGTCCTGAAAGTAAAGATTTCCTGGATCTGAAGCACACAGTCTTTGGAAAGACAGATTTCTGAGTCTTACAACCCCTGAGGCAGGCAGGGAAATGCAGCATCATCCTTGTGGGGAGAGTTGGCTGCTACTTGATTAGCAGGTGGCCATTAAGGACTGACATCCAGGGTTTCTGACTCTTCTCATGTGTGACTCCCACCCACATGGCACAATAGTTATAGAACTATGCAAAAAATGGGAAAAAGAGATATAGAATACTCTATTCAACCAGAAACGGTTCATGGCAATTAAAGATAAATTCAATAAGAGCTGAAACAAAATTTTTCTGGAAAACTCGGAGGCCTGATTCTGTTATAATTATAACCACTGACAGGGAATAGAGTTGGAAAATATCATACAGTACCTGAAGAAGCAAGTCCCCTTCAGGAAACAGTTCTGCATTGACCTGTGGAGAGGTATGCTCACTTCTTCCTGGATTCATGGGTGGGTCACCTGAGCAGTCTGCAATGCTGTCCTTTAGGATGGCTGAGGAAGACAAAGGTGGCATTGAAAACAAATATGTAATAATCTTGTTGGTATAGCTTGTGTTTGAGGAAACCATCTTAATAGGAAACAAACTGAGGGTTGATGGAGGGAGGTGGGTGGGGGGATGGGCTAAATGGATGATGGGTATTAAGGAGGGCATTTCTTCTGATGAGCACTGGGTGTTATAGATCAGTGATACATCACTAAATTATACTCTGGAAACCAATATTACACTATATGTTAACAAACTAGAATCTAAACAAAAATTTGGAAGAAATAAAAAAAAAATACATGATAGCTCTGAAATAAAGAGGGGGAAAAAAAGGAAAGCATCTTACAGCCTCAGAAGTGCCCATTAAGTGATCTGGTCATGATTCCTGGAAAGAAACCCAAGGGCTACTGGAGCTGCTCATGCTTGTTCAAGCCAACATCTAAGACAGAGCAGCTGTGAAAAGTCGAGGCTGCTTGAAATCAGAGGAAAGTCATTTGTACAGAGAGGTCTGCAAGTTGTTTTAAAAACAAGCTCATCACAGGGTTCATCAGAGAACCCTGTGGAAACTAGGGCACTCCTGCCTCTGTCTCTGGCCCGGGACCACTGGAGTGGCCTGCGTGCTAGAGACGTAGCTGGTTGTCTGGGGAAGATTAAGGTATGGGGCTGGTGCTGGGGAACGAATTCAACCCAAGAGCAGCCCCACATAGAGATAGCCTAGAAATAAGACATTCTTCTGTGAAGAATGAGGCATTTGGGCCAGGCCCAGGCTGGCGGGGATCTAGAATGCCCTCACACCTCCAGTTCTGCACCACTCTACAGAGGCATTCCATGTCTTCTCAGGATCCTGCACCTCCCTGCAAGCTGAGTGCTAATGTGCTCCTCCATCAGCAGAACAGTCCCAGCCAGGCTGTCCCCCAAGTTCCCACAGGAGTGTGAACAGTGGGTTCTCGTTCAGCCAGTTGTCTCTTTGGGACATGTGACTATGTGCTTCCCCTGCACCCCCCCCCCCCCCCCGCCCCCGCCACCATCTCCAGGTCTCCAGCAAAGTCTCTTTATCTTCTTACTCTACAGTGGGCCCCAGCTGGTCTAAGACCCAAGTGATGGGCCATCCAGTTCTCTCTAGCTTGAGTTTGTGATTTCAAATTACCTAATTTTCATGGCAACAGAGACTCTGCCTAGTGCAGTGAGAGCAGGTTCAGTCCTGGCTCTCTCTCTCTGCTGTGCCACCTTAAAAATCCTTGAGTTCTCTGAGCCTCACTTTTCTATCAGTACTGGCAGATGATGACAGTGCCTCACAGACTCAGATGAGATACCTGGACAAAAAGCCTGGCTCATAGAGGATGCTCAATAGATGACAATCCTTTCTTATGAATTACATAATAAAATTATATAATGCTGAGTCACAAAGAAAGGGAGAACCGGGCATCTGGAATTGAAGAGCATATAGCAGATGAATGTGGGCTAACTGCTTCGTTATGAAACTTTTGACACATGGCACCTGTCCTGTTGAATGCGGAAGTAGGCAGGGATAGGGAAAGCCCTAGCCTCGGTCTTAGGCCATGGCAGGAGGAAGCTGGGACCTTGATATGGCAGCTCAGTGGGTTCTATGGCTTGGGGAGGCTAGGATCCTGTGGACAGTAGTGGGTCCTCAACAAAGCCGTTGTGTGTGTGGATCCTGTGGGTCCAGCCTTCCTGCCTGTTTGAGGGTCCAAAAGGAATGGGGACTGTTTTCCTCAGGCTGGCTCTTGAGGTAGCTGTGCCTCTCACCCAGGCTGTCCCCACTCCTGCCTACATGAGAAACAGCCTTGGAAGTCATTCATACATTCAGAGGAGAGACCCAGAGGAGGAGTGTACAAAAGTGGTGGGAGAGACCGGACTGAGATCCACAGCTCTGAACAGACCAGGTTTTAGACTGGCTGAGGTTCAAGGTGTTTCCATGTGAAAGCAGTTCACAACACACAACTAGTAAAGACAGCAGCTCTCCAGAGCATCCCAGGGGCACATATGTGCCTCTTTCCTTTGGGCCATCCTTGGGGGAAACCAGACCCAGGTCAGAGGGTCTAAGGTCTCCACCACTGTCAGTGGCCTGCAGCACAGCCCCTGTGCTCATGGCACAAACCAGAGACATCTGGAGGAGAGAAGACCCAGGCACAGCTCTAGGCAGGCAGCCTGGAAACAGAGGCAAGGTTATTCAAAGCAAGGCTCTGGGTAATGAGAGGACTTTGAAGGGACTATGCTTCCATTCCCTCAAAGGATTTCAGCCCCTGTGGGATTCATAAAGTATAAAATTAACCATTTTAAACTGAGCAGCCCTGTGGCATTGAGCACATTCACAATGTTGTGCAACCTCCACCTCCATCGAGATCCAAAATACTGTCAACACCCCAAAAGAAAACCCTGTATCTGTTCAGCAGTCATCCTGGCCCTCTGACCCCAGGCCCCTGGCCAGCACCTCAAATGTGTTTGACCATTACATGGCTATTCCACATTACTGTTATATGCGATTAAATAGCAGCTGCTCCTCTAAAGTTTTCACTGCATTTTGGGCAGTTTCATAATTCTCACTGTATTTTCAATGTTGACTGGATCCAATTAATTTTTTAATTTCTATTTTCAGCTGCTGTAACAATTTGTCACATGTTATCCAGGCCCAGAGTCTTCCTGTCTGTCTTCCTGGACTGCATGTTACCAGTTAAGAAGGGACACACTTTCCTCCTCCAGGAGAAACTGGCGGCCACAAGCTCACCTGTGCTCAGTTGCATCTCTGGATTTACTGAGTAAAAGTTCCACTTGCAGGAATGGGTTAAAACTACCTTTCAGCAATGACACAGTGAATTAGCAGGCAGGACATGGAAGAGTAGACTGTGCCCATTACATGGTAAAGAACTTTAGGAGAATAAGTGCTCCAGAAAATAATAAGAAATATCTCAATTCATATCGTAGTTTCATAAAAATGGTTGTTCTAAACCAAAGTTCTGCAAGGTGGAGGATCACTTGGCTTATCACAAGAAATGACAAATCAACGGAAGGAAAGAATTCAGGCCATCAGCTAGGGACTTCTGTATATGCCAGTCTCTGAGCCTGGTGCAAAACACAGCCAGGCTGGGACCTGTGTCCATCTCCTTCTATGGACAGCCTGAGAGATGGTGTGGAGCCCAGAATTTACACATCAGGTTGGGCATCCACTTACGCGCTTGCATTCTGGTTCACCGACTGCACCTGTGCTGAGCATGCTGCCTTCTTCCTCTGCCTGAGACCAAACACCATGGTGCAGCCTTTTCCCGGACAGAAGGTTAACTCCAAGTACTTGTGTGCACAGACTCCTCTCATAGCTTATTTTGGAACCACAGCTGCCACTTACCTGCGAAGTAGCTCTTCACCTTTAGGTAGCCCACAATCAGCCTGAGGATGGAGAGCTTGTCAAGCCGGGCCCGCACATCCTCAGGGAAGGGCAGCAAGTTGGTCAGTTTGGTCAGCTCTTGATTCAGGCGGTCCCGGTGCCGTTTAGAGGGGTTGGACTTGGCTCCTTCTGGAGGCTGTGGTTTAGGACTTGGGGGGGGAGAGAGAAGCCATTATTCTCTGCCTTTCTCTGCACTGTCACTTGTATCACCCACAGGGCCCCAATGGTGTGCCAGACACTATCTGGCCCACATTCCTGGTGTTTGGAGGCACAAACCTTTGTTCTACAGTTTCAGGTTCTGCCCATGCATAAAACGCCACGGAGGCTCTGCCCTCCTGGCCAGTGGGCCCAGGGGATGGATGAGGCCACTTCATACTGTGCACATGTTAGACCTGGTGGCCCTCAAAGCACCAGGAGCCGGGGACTGGCCATTCCTCCCCACTTTCTGGTAGCCTGACATATTTGCATCCATATGCAATTTTTTAAATTAGGAAATCTATACCACAATTAACACTGAAATGGCTGAAACTCCATTTAGGAAATTATTAAGAATTGAGCCTACACACACACACACACACACACACACACACACACACTCACAAACCTACATTAACACACATCTATGTGTATGCTCTCTCTCCTTTTCTGTATGCACACACAGACCAAGGTACATTGTAATTACATTGCTGAAAACCAGTGACGGAGAGAGCCAGAGAAAAAAGACCCATTTCATACAGATGAATTAAGATACAATGAATGCTCACTTCTCATCAGAAAAAATGCCAGCCAAGATGCAATGGGATGACATCTTTAATGTGCTGAAAGAAGGAATTGTTAACCCAGAATTCCATGACTCAGGAAAAGATCCTTTGAAAATGAAGGCAAAGTAAAGACATTTTCAGACAAACAAAAACTCAAAGAATGTTTACAGAAGATTTGAGCTACGATAAATATTAAAATTTGTGTAATGTTTATTTATTTTTGAAGGAGAGAGAGAGAGAGAGACAGAGTGTGAGTGGGGGAGGGGCAGAGAGAGAGGGGCAGAGAGCTGGCAGCACAGAGCCCGACATGGGGCTCGAACTCATGAACTGTAAGATCATGACCTGAACCGAAGTGAGACGCTTAACCGACAGAGCCACCTAGGCACCCCTGAGCTACAATAAATATTAAAAAAATTTCTTCAAGCTGAAGAAAAATGATATTAGACAGAAATATGGATCTCCATGAAAGAATAAACAATGCTGTAGATGATAAAAATTTAATGATTTTAATTTACTTAAAACATGATTGACTACTTAAAGAAAAATAATAGTGTTGCACTGTGGTGTTTATGGCATATGTAGAATGTATGAAAACAATAGCACAAAGGATGGAAGGGACGTGGAATTATATTATTCTGAGGTGATTACATTATCCATGCAGCAGTATAATATTATTTGAAAGTAGGTAGTATCAGTTAAGGTTTACATTGTAAGCCTTAGGGCAAACACTGAAAATATAAAGCAAAGAGGTACAACTAATAAGTCACAAAAGGAGATATATGAGATACTAAAAAAGAATTAAATCCAAAGAAAGGAAGGAAAAATAACAAAGAATAGATGGAACAAATAGAAATAAAATGGCAGACTTAAACTTAACCACATTGAAATTACAAAAATGTAAACAAGCAGAGATTATCAGACTGGCTGAAAAAACAAAACCCGATATATGGTGTTTAGAGGAAACACATTTTGAATGTAAAGACACAGATAGGTTAAAGTAAAAGGATTGAAAAAGACATACCATGTGCACATTAGACATAAGGAAGCTGGAGTGCCTGAGTGGTTATATTATCAGACAGAGAAGACTTACCAAAGATAAAGAGAGATGTTTTCATAATTTAAAAAAAGTCATTATATATATATATATATATATATATATATATATATATATATATATATATTCACAGAGTTTCAAAATATGTGGATCAAGAACTGAGACAGCTGGTAGGAGGAACAGACAAATTCATAAGTAGAATTGGGGACTGCTGCAGTGTTCTCTCACTAAATGATAGGACAGATAGTTAGAAAATTATTAAGGATATACAAGACATGAACCCTCTCCTCTAACTTAGTATGATTGATATTTGTAAAACACTACAACAAACAGCTGCAGAATATAGATTCTTTTTATGCACAAGCAGAAATTCATCAAGGGAGATTATATTCTGGGCCATAAAACAAGTCTCAGTATGTTTAAATAGATTGAAATCATACGGAGTACATTCTCAGACACAATGATATTTAAGAAACAGTAACAAAGATATCTGAAAAATCTTCAAATATTTGCAAATTAACACATTTTAAAATAACTCATGTGCCCAGGGTGCCTGGGTGGCTCAGTCAATTAGCATTCAACTCTTGATCTTGGTTCAAGTCATGATCTCATAGTTTGTGAGTTTCCAGCCCTGCGTCAGTCTCTATGCTGATGGCACAGAGTCTGCTTGGGATTCTGTGTCCTTTTCTCTGCCCCTCCCCTGCTTGTACTCTCTCTTTCTCTCTCTCAAAACAGATAAATGAACTTAGAAAAATAAAACAACTCATGGGCCAAAGGAGAAATCACAAAGGAAATAAGAAAAAAATCTAATTGGTAATGAAGGACAAGATACCAAAATTTGTGGGGTGCAGTTAATGCAATGTGTAGAGGGAAGACTATCGCCTTACTTACATATGAAAAGGAGAAAGTTTTATAGTAAATGATCTGAGTTTCCTTCTTAAAAGCTAGAAACACAAGAGTAAACTAAGCCCAAAGTATGTACAAGGAAGAAAATAATCAAGTAAAAGCAGAACAAGGAAGAAAATAATCAAGTAAAAGCAGAACAATGAAACAGAAAATGGAGGAAATAAATGAAAGTGAAAACTGAAAATATCAATGAAATTGATAATCATCTATCAAATCAATTCCCCCCCAAAGAAAATGCTAATTACCAATAGTAAGGAAGGAAGGGAAATAGTTATAGATCCTACAGACATGAACAGGAGAAAATCTTCAAGATCTTGTGATGTGCAAAGATTTCTTAGATGGGTCACAAAAAGCACAAACCATAACAGAAAAAGATTGGTAAGCTGGACTTCAACAAAATTAAGAAACTAAGTATGGGGGCGCCTGGGTGGCGCAGTCGGTTAAGCGTCCGACTTCAGCCAGGTCACGATCTCGCGGTCCGTGAGTTCGAGCCCCGCGTCGGGCTCTGGGCTGATGGCTCAGAGCCTGGAGCCTGTTTCCGATTCTGTGTCTCCCTCTCTCTCTGCCCCTCCCCTGTTCATGCTCTGTCTCTCTCTGTCCCAAAAATAAATAAACATTGAAAAAAAAATTAAAAAAAAAAAAGAAACTAAGTATGGAAAAAAGTATATGTAGTATATGTAGTTGAAAAAAAGTTATTGTATCCAGAATATATAAAGGACTTTCACTAATCCATTAGAAATGGGTAAATAATTTGAATAGATACTTCACTAAAGAAAATATACTAATAGCCAAAAAGCATATGGGATCATAGGCAACATTATACTTCATCAGAAAACTGCAAATTAAAATAAATTACTTGTACATATATATTAAAATGGCTAAAATTAAAAAGATTGACAACATCAAGTGTTGGAGGGGATCTGGAGTAACTGGAACTCTCATTCATTGGAAAATGATTTCAGTTTTTTAAAATGTTAAACATGGCATAGAAATTCCAATTCTAGGTACTTACTGGGATGAAATGAAAGTATATGTCCACAAAAGACTATTTATAGCACCTTATTCATAATAGCCTGAACTGGGGGGACCAGCCAGCCAAATGAATGAGGAGGGGGCTCAACAGCTCAGCTCACTACCCCCTAAGGTTCCTTGGAACCTGTTCACCAGGTGACCCTGTCTCATGAGGTTTTCCCTCGTCTTCTCCAGCAGGATCCCAGCCTCTTTCAACAAGCCACAGAAAGAGGCCAGGTCCAAGTGAGGCAGCAGGTAAACTGGGAAGCTTACCCAGGCTCTATGCCTCAGCCCTAAGAGGGGGATGGTAATAGAAGTCTCTACCTCCTAGGTTGCCTAAGGATCAATTACAAAACATAGATGCCATGGTGTAGAACATTGTGCCAGTTTTTTTTAAGTTTATTTTTTAAAATTGACATCCAAATTCGTTATAATATAGTGCAACAATGATTTCAGGAGTAGATACCTTAGTGTCTCTTACCCACTTCACCCATCCCCCCTTCCACACCCCCTCCATTAATCCTCTGTTTTTTCTCTATATTTAGGAGTCTCTTATGTTTTGTCCCCCTCCCTGTTTTCATATTATTTTTGTTTCCCTTCCCTTATGTTCATCTGTTTTGTCTCTTAAATTCCTCATATGAGTGAAGTCATGTGATATTTGTCTTTCTCTGACTGACTAATTGCACTTAGCATAATACCCTCCAGTTCCAGCCATGTACTTGCAAATGACAAGATTTCATTCTTTTTGATTGCCGAGTACTACTCCATTGTACATATATACCACATCTTCTTTATCCATTCATCCATTGATGGATGTTTGGGCTCTTTCCATACTTTGGCTATTGTTGATAGTGCTGCTATAAACATTGGGGTGCATGTGTCCCTTCAAAACAGCACACCTGTATCCCCTGGATAAATACCTAGTAGGGCAATTGCTAGGTCATAGGGTAATTCTATTTTTAGGTTTTTGAGGAACCTCCATACTGTTTTCCAGAGTGGCTGGAAAGCCCACCAACAATGCAAAAGAGATCCTCTTTCTCCACATTCTTGCCAACATCTGTTGTTGCCTGAGTTGTTAATGTTAGCCATACTGACATGTATGAGGTGGTATCTCACTGTGGTTTTGATTTTTATTTCCCTGATGATGAGTGATGTTGTGCATTTTGTCATGTGTCGGTTGGCCATCTGGATGTCTTCTTTGGAGAAGTGTCTATTCATGTCTTTTGCCCATTTCTTCACTGGATGATTTGTTTTTTGGGTGAGTTTGATAAGTTCTTTATAGATTTTGGATAGTAACCCTTCATCTGATATGTCATTTCCAAATATCTTCTCCCATTCTGTAGGTTGCCTTTTAGTTTTGCTGATTGTTTCCTTCGCTGTGCAGAAGTTTTTGTTTTGATGAGGTCCCAATAGTTCA